TGTTGTGTACGAAGCACAAATTAATTTAAGTTTTAATTTATGAATTTTTGAGTACATGGTGTACTAGGTTGTAATTGCATAGAAATGTACGTTTATGGATATAAAGAACTATATTTAATGAGTTACAGTGAAAAGAAGTGCTTGGAAATAGTAATATAAACAGAAATTTCAATTTTTCTATTAACGGAAAATATCAGTTAATGATACAGAAAATATACTGTGAATAAACAGAATTTTCCGTTTTAAAGCTGAAGGAAATGTCCGTAAATAGTACAGCGAGTATACTGTAAATCTACAGAATGTTCCGTTTTATCATTTACAGAAAGGTCCGTCAAACCTCCGTAAAAAAACAGAAAATGTACTGGCAGAAAATTACCAGGACATTTTCTGTTTTTCTACGGAATATTTTTTTACAGTGTGAGCTCCAACTGGGATGCTTGCATCTTACTTCCTATAGCAGCACCTAGAATAGATGTGGCTCAGGAGACAGACCATGGTTTCCACCACTGGACTCCTCCCTCTTTGTTCAGGTGTCCCAGGGCACAATACTGAATAGTGTGGAACAGAGGGTAACTTAGAGCTTGTGGGGTTAGGATGTGGTATCCGTTTTTTTTAGACCACCACTCAGTGTAAGTTTTATGTCACAGCTGCGTACTAAGTACTGGTAATTATCAAAATGATTTTTTTATGCTTCCACCAATATTTGAGAGCTCTTTATGATAATATTTTTAATCATAAAATACAAATATTCTAGTCCAAATTCTTTTAATGTACAGTTTTACAAAATAGCTGAAAAAAGATAGTAAATCACATCATTATCTTTTGATGAAAATGACAAATTACAGTTATTTTATTATATTCCGGAATGTCTGAATGTTACACATGGTCTCAACAGATTTTGAGGGCTGTGCAATATGACCAAAATCTCTTATCCCGATGTAAGACATTTCTCATCCCGATAATGATATATATCGCACTTTTGGTAAATTCTGTGAATCTCGGGCAACTCGACTTGGGTAAAGTGTTTTCAGCTGGGCGTTGTATACCTGGAGTGTACCTGTGACCAATGCATGAAACTATATATCTTTAGATTGTTGTAACGGCTGACATTTACTTTCTATTTATTACATGGCGTGCCGTGTGAAAAAGGCTGTTCTAACGTTTGAGTCTAAGGTTTATTTTTGAGCACCTGACAGCTCTTTTTTGCTTCTCATCTGATCTTCATCATCTCAATATTGCCGTAAACAGTGTATTTTGCAACACCACAAAACAAACGATGGCGTATAATATGAAATGATGGATGTTTTAACTTCGTCAAATTTGTAAAGGCATCAAAGCATGTATATCCTGTCTTGTTGTGGTGACAGGATCATGTCACTCTGGTTAGGTTGCAGGAATTTGATACATTGATATATTTTCTGTATGTTCTAACCCATTATGTTCATCCTTCTGTTTTCTTGTCACCTCAGGTCGTTTCTACTACCTGATCCAACCCTTTAAGCTGACCTATGATGAGGCAGTCAGGGCATGCCAAAAAGATGGTGCTCAAATTGCCAAGGTTGGCCAGATGTATGCTGCCTGGAAGCTGCTGGGCTATGACCGCTGTGATGCAGGCTGGTTGGAGGATGGCAGTGTCCGTTACCCCATCTCCCACCCGCGCCGGCGCTGCAGTCCCACTGAAGCTGCTGTTAGGTTCAGTGGCTTCCCTGACAAGAAGCATAAGCTGTATGGAGTGTATTGTTTCAAGGGCCACAACTGAGCCACAACACACATCCAGCAAACAATTACATACACTAACATGCATCAACACATACAATAATGAGCATAATAATTGAGAGAAAGAAAACAGAGAAAAAAGCACATTCAAACTGTGATAGTTTTTTTTTTTTTTAATGGAAACCTTAAGATGTTTTATCCAGACCGATTCATGTTGTGCTTTGTAAACTGGGACCTTATATTCTACAAGGGATAGTTTACGCATATTTAAGGTTTATATTATTTAATCAATGCCCTTCAGAGAGGTGGGCACATTGTTGTGGGGATTAGATAACCTACGGCTACAGACATACTGTCATTTACAAATGGACTAGGCTCGTCAAAGTCTGAAAGTCTGAAACGTAACTAATCCAATCTCTGCTGTTCAATGTTAACAAGGTGCTAAGACAGGTACTTTGTAAATCATCCTACCACCCAGTGTTTTATTTTTTTTATACAAACGTGATGAACCAAACACTAGCCTCATCACCAAAATGAAAAAGAAATCATCTAACTGTTAGCATTGTTTATGTTTTCTAAGTATGTAGAATGTGATAATCTAGAAATGTATTTCTGTTAATGACTATTTTTTGATATACTGTAGAAATATTTAGAATATAATTTTTATCTTTCTGGTCAAACTATCCAAGTCTATTGGGTTTACATGAAACATACAATAACGGTGGAAAAAACACCACAAAAAATGATTTTGCACTGAATTTACCGAATATGATGCATAGAGGAGAGAAGACGAGGCAAACAGCAGTTTGCTCTTTGCAGCAATACAGAATGCCTGGCATGAAAAAATGCTTTGCAGTGCTAGAGTACGTTTTGTTCTTCAGAGCATGCCTTGACTTCAACAGCAAAATCGCTATTAGAGTATAGCTACTCTTGCTATCTATTTAGCGCCTTATAGACTGCTATTTTTGATACAAATGCCATAGATTCTTCTAGCTTATTACCAGAGCCAGGCTTTGCCCTGCTTGTGACTGATGTTGCTCATTAGCCCAGCAATCCCAGTGCAACCTGAGAGGACAATCAAAAAAATCCTGTTATTCAGTTGTGGGTTTGACCTTCAGCATGTGTTTGTAATATCATAAAAATCTGCTTTCTGCATACAGTGTTGCTTGACCTTTAAATCACATTTTTCTACTGCATTCCTCTCCTATGATGGTGCTAGGCTGCTGTTAACTAGAATTGTAACTAGAATTGGAAAATTTAGATTTAAATCCAGGTTATGCTCAGGTTTATGTTTGATCTATTTTAGTCAACAAAAAAGCAAAACAATAAAAAGAAATAAATATTAGTCATGTCACAAAATCAAAGATTTAGTTGTTTGTACCACTGAAATTGCAAAGTTCTTTGTGCCAAATACAAAGAAAAAAGCAAAATAGTGACTGTTAGCATGCTAACAGACACACATGGCCAATGACTACTACTCACACTGTGGATTGTCAGCCTAAACAAGACTTGCAAACTCTTTGGACCCAAAAATCTTTAACAAGTCGTATAGTATTGATGCTTTTTGTGTGTGTGTGTGTGGGGGGGGGGAAGTCTTAGTTTATGTTGACAAGAAACTCAATTGTGACTAAAAATAATATGCAACTCTTTTGAATAAATTGGGACTAATGCTAGGCTAGGTCAGAGCATTCACAAAACCTACTAATGGATACCAGGTAAAAGAATAAGGTGCTGAGGTTAACAGAGATAACACTCTGTGACTGACTTACACACTAATGTATATAGAGATGAAGTCTAAGGTCCTGAACTGGCCCCCTAATTGCTGTCTAAGTTCTGCAAGGCACAGCCATGAAGCAGCCGACCAGTTCTTCCTGCAGGAGCCTCTAAAGGTTTCTTCCATTTAAGGGTATAACAGTAAATGTAATGTGTAAGCTCACTGTACACAGCCCAGGATGGAAAAGACTGAAGTTTAGGTAATCTAATTGGAATGGTGCAGAGTTGGCTATACTTGGCTACTCAAGTCACTGCACAATCAGAGTTTTGCTATACTTATCATCAGTGAACTGCTGGACGAAAATAGCCTGTAATGATCACACACTGATGATGTGGAAGATAAAATGCTATAACAGCTATGAAGTAAACACTTACTAAAGATCTGTTTTATTTAATTTACTCCTTTTGTATTAGTGTATTGATTAGAATTATTGCAGAAATTACAGTCAATTAAATGAATAGTTTGACATTTGTGAAAGTGCAAACTGGTACGCTAACACACAGCTGTGTAATAGCTAGATCTCATAATGGGCTATAAAATCAAGATATTTCTTGAAAGTAAACAGTATTATGTGTTAATTGGTAAGATTCTGAGCTACATGTTGACACCAAGCTCACACCAGTGTTTAAATTTAGGACACCCACAAGCTCATTAGCTAGCATAGAAAAATACCTGGAAAATCCTGTAAAATAAATAGAATGAAACTAATATATAAGATATATAATAAGATATGCAAGGCAGTTCTTCAGTGCATCAGTGCGGATTGAAAGCAATTTTACAATTGATGTTACATCATCCATATTTCCTACAGTCAAGTTGTCTCAACCTGCTACTCGTTAACTGAAGAAAATAGTGGGGAAATTTTGCTAATTCGTTGTCCAGTGTTTCAAGTTTAGTGCAGCTCAGCTACCTGTTTACATTTGTTACTTGCCTTACTTAGTATGTTACATTTTTCCCAACCAGATTACCTGTTTCTACCAGTTGCTAGTCTACATTCTGTGTGTAGCTAAAGTTCAAGTAGTTGTCAGGAATATCACATTTCAGCAGATGTTTTCACATCTCTTTACTAGCCTTTCTTTTATGCTAAATGAAGTTACGTGTCTCCCGCTTATCTACCACTTTGTATCTACTGTACAGATATGACAGTGGTATCACTTTTGTCATATCACAAGAAAGTAAATATCTATGTTTTCACCATTTCAACTGTTCATTTTAAAGCTTCTATTTTGTATTCTATTGTCTTTCTGATATTGTTCTTCGAGAACCACAGCATAGAAAACAATCTTAGGGATTTGCAGACAAAGGGATAATAAAAGAATATATAAACCATGACTCAGCCTCTATCAATGTCTACAACCATTACTGAATTAACATAAATACATCATAGCAACGATGAGCGATTCCACTGTAGTTGCAGCGGAAAAGAAAAATCATCAAAGTCAATGTCTGCCCTTTATTTGTTAGGATGTGTATTTGCAGAGCTGTAGTTCTTGGGTAATGCTGTAATGTGTAAATGTTTGCAGAGGGAGGGGTCCTGCTTACATGAAAATGTTTTTCCAGTGGGAACACTGAGGCCATTCATGGTGCTGCATCAGTTAATTCTGTAACTGAAATACAGCATGTTGCCAAAGTAAATGACTGTTTTAAAAGCTGAGTGACGGCATGTTGGTTTTCATGCTGATTCTTTTGTTTGTGCTATTTTCAGGAAAGCTGTCTGTTTAACATTACAAAGAGAGCACAGATTATATATAGACATCCACAATAAACAAAGACAGCAGTACCGGTCAAAGATTTTCAGAATTATACAAAAAGGCCTGTTTCAGGGAACACAAAATGCGTTAACAATTTAAAGTTGTTCTGCAGCAATGGAGGTTGATCAAGCCCTCAAAGCTCGTGCTACTAATTCCTACAGGTGTTCCAACTTTTCTGGATCACTTACAACCCCCTCTGTCTGCATAACAGAAGTGCTGGAACACACTGTGGTACCCTCATGAGCATCAGTTGAACTGTCTTGTACTGCAGAAAGTAGTGCGTTGCTAGAAAAATGGTGAGAAAAGGGCAAATAACAAGGGAAGAGAGACAGACCATCATAACACTTAGAAATGTAGGTCTTTCCTACAGAGAAATTGGAAAGAAAGTTAAGGTGTCAGTGAGTACAGTTTCCTTCACCATCAAAAGGCACTCAGAAACTGGGGCAAACTCAAACAGGAAGAGGTCTGGAGCCTGGGGCTCGCTCGGGCCACTTCGGGGGTGGGGTGCCCTCGGCCTCTCGGCCTGGGGCTCGGTCACTCTGGCACAGCTGGCTGCCGGCGGAGCTCACGGGCGTGTCACTGCAACTCCCCCTGACTTCTGCTCCGCGGCTGCTGAGTGAACCCTCATCTGGGACTCTCCTCAGCTCTTTCTGGGACAGTGGCGCGGCTGCCCCTCTGTTGGTCTTCCTTGGTCTCTTGTGTTCTGAGGGCCTCTGGATGTCTGGAGTTTTGATCTCCTCCATACCTGCTTCATGCCCTGGTGGACGGGGCTGTGGCCCCCCCACACATGAAGGAACCTTTTAAAAACAAGCGCGTTCATGCTCACAGGTGTACACACGGGTGCTCACACACACAAACTACACCGTTTTTGGCTCCTACCTCAAAGCACACTGTGCCCTGTCGATCTTACGTGCTGCACAATAATATTCAATATTTAGTATTTACTATCATATTCCCATAGATCATCGTGATGTTGTTTATTATGTTGCTCTTTGTTGTTTGTTTTCTCTTCAGTTTTTTTTATCTCCATACAGGTGATCCAGGTGTTTTGTTTGTTTTTCTTTTTTTTTCTTCCTCCCTTTCTCACCATCTCTTCTCCCCTCTATTTTTCTTTCTCTCCCTCTCCCCCAGTCATGTCTGTCCCGTCTTTAAAAAACGAAAATAAAATAAATACATAATTATAGTAAAGGTCAATCAAATGGACCGATATGGCAAGGCCATGATGATCCACTTGGTAAAGTAAATCCATTTGGCATCTTTCTTGGCCTTCAGACAACAATTCTGATGGCTAAAGATCCAAACGGGACAGGCAAAAAAAAAGAAAAAAAAAAGAGAAGACTTCAAGCTGTAGGTTTGACAGGACAAGTTGCAGGAATAAAGCCATTGCTAAGATGTCAGAATAAGACATAGAGGCTTCCCTGGGCCATGAAACATTGCCATTGGGATACTGAAGACTGGAAGAAGGTATTATGAACTGATGAATCAAAATTTCAAATCTTCGGTTCATCACACAGGATCTTTGTACGCCGTCAAGTATGTGAAAGGATGGTTCCACAGTGTGTGGCATCAACTGTTAAACATGGAGGAAGTGTGATGGTCTGGGGCTGTTTTGCTGGATCCAGGGTCGGTGATTTGTACAGAGTGACAGGCACCTTAAACCAAAACAGCTACCACAACTTTCTGTAGCGCCATGTAGTACCCTCTGGTATGTGCCTAGTTGGTCAGGGGTCCATTCTACAGCAAGATAATGACCCAAATATAAGACCCAGCTATGCCAGAACTACCTTAGGAAAAAAAGAACAAGCTGGTAAGCTTGAAAACATGGAGTGACCAGACTTAAACCCCATTGACCTGCTTTGGGATGAACTGGAGTGAAAGCAACAGATATGGGGAGAGCTTTCTGAAGTAGAAAAGAATGTAGAAAGAATGCCACGTGTGTGTTCAGCTGATACATCTGCCAAAGGTGGCTACTTTGATGAGTCAAAAATTTAGAATACACTTTGGTTTAATAATTGATTCCATGATTTCCTCTTTAACTTCAGTTGCTTATTTGTATTATGTCTTGCAATGACACACACACACACACATATATATATACATACATATTGCTCCATTCTGTAGTTAGTATACGTAGCCAGTCCTGTCAGTAATCTCACTGAGGGGGTTCAGGCCTATACAGAACAGCAGTGGGAATAGAGCATTTCCTTGGTAGATCCCGCACTTGATGGCAACCTGTCCTATGGGCTTGAAGTTGGTCTCTAGTGTTGTCCACCACATCCCCACTGAGTTCCTGATGAAGGCTCTTAGGGTCCTGTTGATCTTGTACAGTTCCAGGCATTCCAGGATCCAGGTGTGGGGCATTGAGTCATAGGCTTTCTTGTAATCATTCCAGGGAGTGCTCAGGTTGGTCAGCCTAGTCCACACTGCCCTGTCTACCAGTAGCTGGTCTTTCACTCTTCCGCTGTTCTGACAAAACGTCCTACTTTGGCAAAACGTCCTACCGTAAGTAGTTTATGCACATTTCTGCTGTCACACAGTAATTCCAGCACAAACGTAAGTAGGTATGACGGTTTACCACTTAACTTTGCCCATCAGAGTATGTTTGTAGCTCACATTCATAAAGCCAGGATGGTTTGCCACTTCATTTTACCTGTTAAAGTATGCTTGTAGGTCACATTCAGAAAGGTAGCATGGTTTGGCACGTATTTATTCCCGTCAGAGTATGTTTCTAGCTCTTATTAACAAAGGTAAGATGATTTGCCACTGAATTCTAGCTGTAAAATTATGCTTCTAGCCCATATTAACAAAGGTAGGACGATTTGCCACTTAATTATAGCTGTTAAAGTATGCTTGTACATCACATTTACAAAGGTAGGACGGTTTGGCACATAATTTTACCCGTCAGAGTATGTTTGTAGCTTATATTCACAAAGGTAAGACGGTTCGCCACTGAATTTTGTGTTGCGCGCATGTGTAGAAACAACGGGTAGGATGGTTTGTCAGGTAGGATGGATTCCCAGAACACCGGTATTCCTGACAATTCCTTTTTGTCCCCCCACTCATGTATTGTTCTTCTTAGCTGCTATGATGCCTCACAGCAGCGTCCATGTGGTACTGAGGCAGGTTATTGGCCAGTGGTTGGATGGGAAAGTTCTCTTCTGGGGGTCCTTGGAGATCAGGACTGTCTGGCCTTCAGTAAGCCATTCTGGGTGTCTCTCATCAACTAGCAGCTGGTTCATTTGTGCTGCCCAATGCTCATGGAGTGCCGTCAGCTTCTTCAGCCAGTAGGCGCGACTCATGTCGGGGGCTGGTGCTGTCTAGCTCTTACTACTGGAGATCTTCTCTTGAATGTTTGCCACTGTGATGGTTACTGGACCTTGTTCAGGGAGTTTGCTGTGGTCTGCTCTTAGATTCACGAGCCATTGAGCATTACCGTTATGGGCTGCGTCCTTCTCCCATGTGCTTTACCAATATTGCTCCGCCTCCAGCCTTGGTGGTGCTGTTCTCATATTGTTACATACTATCATGCTACATACTAAAGGAAAATGTATGAAGGACATGAAGACAACGTGAGATGCATAAAAAAAATCTTATAGAGCAGGTGGTCATGTTTATTTGTTTCTTATACATTCTCTTATTCCTTGAAAACAATAAACAAACTGATTCCACGTCTACAGGAAAAGGCAACATGAAGGTATGTGTCTAATAATGTAAAAATAACGTAGAAATAACCAGAAGTGTTTTCATTGACAATGGAGGAAGCCAATTTTGAGTCACAGCACAATAAAGAAAATCAACAATCTCAATAAAACTACAGGACGGCATTGCGTATACATACTGTCAATGATAACATGATTTCTCAATAAGAAAGATCATGACAAGAGTCTGTAAACAGTGCAGAAGATATCACTTCAGTTCCATGGACCTTTATTCAATATCACAGTCCTTTCATAGTTTTGAAGTATACAATAAATTAAATTCTTATGGCTTCAGATAATATTTATAATATATATCCTATGATTAATAGCCACAGCATAGACAGACGACATATTCATCACAATTTCCTATTTGTGTTCATCAAATCTCAATTAAGAAAAAAACTAAGGTAAAATATTTTGTACAAAATCATAGACAAACAATGAAAAACAATGAGTTCAGATAGGCAGACACATTGAAAATGTGGTCAAAGGTAACAATCTGAGGTGATTTGAGGTGAGGAATTCTTGCTCATCTTTATAATTCAGTGACAAATTCAAAGTTGTCATTTTTTGTTAGTTTTGCTCAAGAACTGCTAAAATGTTTCCATTTAATTTTTCCATTTCCATCCTTTTTAAAAGTTAACAAAGTGTGAGTGTCTTTAACCAGCTTGGACGTGACTACACTGTTTAACAAAGAATAAAGACTTGAATTCCTTTTAATGAAAAATTTGCCACTGGGCTGCATTAAAATCTGACAGAAGGCACTAGACTTATGAGCGCAGGTTAAAAACTGATGGCATAAGTTACACTGAACACTTTGACTATTAAGTGTACAACACAGTGAGGAGCTCCTGTGTTGTGACTGATAGACCTGGTTTTAGGG